CCGGCTCTCACAGGCTCATACTGGCTCTGACAGGATCAAACTGGTTCTGACTAGGTCACTCTGGCTGTAACCGATTCTGACTGTTTCAAAATGGCTCTGAAAGGTTCATACAGGTTCTGACTAGTTCAAACTGGCTGTAACCGGTTCTGACTTGTTCAAACTGGCTCTGACAGGTTTAAATTGGTTCTGACAAATTCAAACTGGCTGTAACTGGTTCTTACTTGTTCAAACCGGCTCTGACAGGATCAAACTGGTTCTGACTAGTTCAAATTGGGTGAAACCGGTTCTGACTGCTTAAAACCGGTTTTGACGGGTTTAAACTGGCTCCAACAAGCTCTGACAGGATCAGACCGTCTCGGACAAGTTAAACCTGGTTCTGACGAGCTCAAACAGGCTGAAACCGGTTATGACAGGTTAAAAACCAGTTGTAACTGGTTTAAACTGGTTCAGACCAGCTCTGACAGAATCAAACCGGGTCTGACAGGTTCAAACTGGTTCTGAGTAGCTCAAACTGGGTAAGACCGGTTCTGACTGGTTCAAAACCGGTATTTACCAGCTTAAACTGGTTCAAACTGGCTATGACAGGCTCAAACTGGTTCTGACTCATTCAAACTGGCTGAATCCAGTTCTTACTGGTTCAAACCAACTCTGACAGGTTCAAACTGGTTCTGACTAGTTCAAACTTGCTGTAACCAGTTCTGACTGGTTCAAACCAGCTCTGACAGGTTCAAACTGGTTCTGACTAGTTCAAACTGGCTGAAACCGACTCCGGCTGGTTCTAATCGGTTTTGACCCATTTAAACTGGCTCAAACCAGCTCTCATAGGCTCATACGGCTCTGACAGAATCAAACTGGCTCTAACAGGCTCAAACTGGTTCTGACTACGTCAAACTGGCTGTAACCGGTTCTGACTGTTTCAAACTGGTTCTGACTAGTTCGAACTGGCTGAAACCAGTTATGACTGCTTCAATCCGGTTTTGACCAGTGTAATCTGGTTCAAACTTGCTCTGACAGGTTCTAAGTGGTTCTGACTAGTTCAAACTGGTTGTAACCAGTTCTGACTGGTTCAATCCAATTTTGACTGGTTTAAACTGGCTCCAGCCGGCTCTGACAGGCTCTAACCAGCTTTGACAGGTTCAAACTGGTTCTGACTAGCTCAAATTGACTGGTTTAAACTGTCTCAAACTGGCTCTGACAGGCTCAAACTGGCTTTGACAGGTTCAAACTGGCTGAAACCAGTTCTGACTAGTTCAAACCGGCTCTGACAGGTTCAAACTGGTTCTGACTAGTTCAAACTGGTTGTAACCAGTTCTGACTGGTTCAATCCGTCTCTGACAGGCTCAAACCGGCTTTGACAGGTTCAAACTGGCTGAAACCGGTTCTGACGGTTTCAAACCAGCTCTGACAGGTTTAAAATGGTTCTCACTAGTTCAAACTTGTTGTAACCGGTTCTGACTGGTTCAAACCTGCCCTGACAGGTTCAAACTGTTTCTTACTCGTTCAAACTGGCTTAAACCGGCTATGACTGGTTCAAACCATTTTTGAACTGGCTCAAACGGGCTCTGACATGCTCAAACCGGCTTTGAGATGTTTAAACAGGTTCTGACTAGCTCAAACTGGTTGCAACCGGTATGACAGTTTTAAAATCGGTTTTAACTGGCTCAAACCAGCTCGGACAAAATAAAACCGGCTCTAACAGGTTCAAACTGGTTCTGACTCATTCAAAGTGGCTGAAACCAACTCTGACTGGTTCAAAGTGGTTTTGACTGGTTTAAACTGGCTCAAACCGGTTCTGACAGGTTGAAACTAGATCTGACTAGTACAAACTGGCTGTAACCAGTTCTGACCGGTTCAAACCAGCTCTGACAGGTTCAAACTAGATCTGACTAGTTCAAACTGGCTGTAACCGGTTCTGACTGGTTCATACCGGTTCTGACTGGTTCAAACCGGCTCTGACAGGTTCAAACTGGTTTTGACTGGCTCCAACTGGCTGAAACCGGTTCTGACTGGTTCAATCCGGTTATGTCCAGTTTAAACTGGTTCAAACTGGCTCTGACAGGTTCAAACTGGTTCTGACTAGTTCAAACTGGCTGAAACCGGCTCTGGCTGGTTCAAACCGGTATTGACCGGTTTAAACTGTCTCAAACTGGCTCTGACTGGCTCAAACTGGCTTTGACAGGTTCAAACTGTCTGAAACCAGTTCTGACTCGTTCAAACCAGCTCTGACAGGTTCAAACTGGTTCTGACTAGTTCAAACTTGCTGTAACCAGTTCTGACTGGTTCAAACCAGCTCTGACAGGTTCAAACTGGTTCTGACTAGTTCAAACTTGCTGTAACCAGTTCTGACTGGTTCAAACCAGCTCTGACAGGTTCAAACTGGTTCTGACTAGTTCAAACTGGCTGAAACCGGCTCTGGCTGGTTCAAACCGGTTTTGACTGGTTTAAACTGGCTCAAACCAGCTCTGACAGGGTCAAACCGCCTCTGACAGGTTCAAACTGGTTCTGACTTGTTCAAAGTGGCTGAAACCGATTCTGACTTGTTCAAACCAGCTCTGACAAATTCAAAGTGGTTTTGATTAGTTCAAACTGACTGTGACCAGTTCTGACTGGTTCAATCCGGCTCTGACTGGTTCAAACCGGTTTTGACCAGTTTAAACTGGCTTAAACCGGCTCTCACAGGCTCAAACCGGCTATGACAGGATCAAACTAGTTCTGACAGGATCAAACTGGTTCTGACTACTTCGAACTGGCTGTAACTGGTTCTGACTGGTTCAAACCAGCTCTGACAGGTTCAAAGTGGTTATGACTAGTTCAAACTGGCTCTAACCAGTTCTGACTTCAATCCAGCTCTGACAGGTTCAAACTGGTTCTGACTAGTTCAAACTGACTGAAACCGGTTCTGACTGGTTCAAACTGGTTTTGACCGGTTTAAACTGGCTCAAAGTGGCTTTGACAGGATCAAACCGGCTCTGACAGGTTCAAACTGGTTCTGACTAGTTCAAACTGACTGAAGCCGGTTCTGACTGGTTCAAACCGGTTTTGACCACTTTAAACTGGCTCAAACTGGCTCTGACAGGATCAAACCGGCTCTGACAGGTCCAAAATGGCTCTGACTAGCTCAAACTGGCTGAAACCGGTTATGACGGGCTCAAAACCATTTTTAACCAGTTTAAACTGGCTCAAACAGTTTTAAACTGGTTCTGACTAGTTCAAACTGGTTGAAACCAGTTCTGACTGGCTCAAACTGAAGGCGGTTTATGAATGGTTGAAACTGGTTGACACTGTTTCTTTCCAGTTCAAACTGGTACTGACCAGTTCAAACTGACTCTGATCAGTTCAAACTTGCTCTAACTGGTTCAAACCAGTTCTGACTATTTTAAGCCGGTTTTGACTGTTTCACACTGGCTGAAACTGGTCCTGACTTGTCCAAAGCAGTTCTGACTGATTTAGTCAGGTTCTGTGTAGTTCAAGCTGGATGAAACTGACTCTGTCCTGTTTAAACTGGTACTGAGTGGTTCAAACTGGTTCTGATTGATTTAAACCAGTTTTAAGTGGTTCAAATCGGTTCCCACTGAATCAAGTCGGTTTTGACTGATTCAAACAGGCTGAAACTGGTTCTAACTGGTTCAAACTGGTTTTGACCTATTTAAACAGGCTCAGACTGATTCTGACCGGTTCAAACAGATTAGAAGTGGCTCAAACTGGTTCTAAGCGGTTTAAACTGGCTGACAATGGTTCAGTCCAGTTTAAGTCAGTACTGACTTGTTCAAACCAGTTTTGACTGGTTTAAACTGGTTCAAACCAGCTCTGACAGGTTCAAAACTGATTCCAACTGGTTCTGACTAGTTCAAACTGGCTGAAGCTGGTTTTTGACTCGTTCAAACCAGTTCCAACTGTTCAAACTGGTTCTGACTAGTTCAAGGTGGATGAAACAGGTTCTGTCCAGTTCAAACTGGTACTGACCGGTTCAAACCTACTCTGACCAGTTTAAACTGACTTAAACCAATTCTGACTAGTTTAAGCCAGTTTAGACTTGTTCATACTGGCTAAAACTGGTTCTGACTGGTTCAAACTGGTATTGGCCGATTCAAGCTGGCCGAAACCAGTTCTGCCCTACTTAAACTGGTACTGACCTGTTCAAACTAGCTCCAACTGGCTTAAACCGGCTTTAACTAATTCAAACTGGTTCAAATTGGTTCCCATTAAATCAAGCTGATTTTGACTGGTTCAAACTGGCTGAAACCGATTCTGACTGGTTCTAAATGGTTCAAGCTGTTTCTGTTTCAAACCTGTTTTGACTGGCCCAAACCGGTTTTGAGTGGTTCAAACTGGTTGACACCGGTTCTGACTGGTCCAACCTGGTTCTGACTGGTTCAAACTGGTTGACTCTGGTTCTTTCCACTTAAAACTGGTTCAAACCAGTTTTGACCTGTTCAAACTGATGTAAAAATAAATATATTGTTGAAATTGACGTGTTGCTTGCATGTCAAATTTGACATGTGTGTCAGATTGGAGACATGTCAATGTCTGATTTGAACCAGTTAGAGACAGTCTGAATCAGTTTGAACTGGTCAGAACCAGTTTGAACTATTCAGAAATGGTTTAAATCAGTTTGAATTTGTTTGAACCAGTAGTTTGAACTATTCAGAAACGGTTTAAATCAGTTTGAATTTGTTTGAACCAGTTTGGACCAGTCAGAACTGTTTTGAACCAGTTGAGCCAGTCTAAACCATTTGGAACTGGTCAGAACTGGTTTCAACCAGTTCAAACCAATTAGAACTGGCTTGGACCAGTTAGAACCTGTTTGAACTATTCAGAACCGGTTTCAACCAGTTTGAACCAGTCAGAATTGGGTTGAGCCAGTTAAAACTAGGATTTTAAGTAATTCTACTTTAACTACAATCTCTATTCCCTCCTTGTCTCCAAAAGTCAGGGATAGCAAATAGAACAAGATTCTTAAGAGAAAAAGGAAAAACATATATATTATGTATTTAACTTACCTCCTGGAAATGACTCAGAATATTCAAGTCCTGCCTGGCACTCTAAATTAAAAATAAAACACATTTAGAAATTAAATCAATGCAGAAAATAGCACTTTACAAAACAGTATCCTCAACATATTCTCAACACACTCCACAGTGACATGGCATATCAAAGGACTGCAGATCAGAGAGCTACAATCTTTATTCTATTTATCAAGGATGTTAGTCTTGATAACTAGTAAAACCTAACTGCTAAGACAACAAACAAACAAATAACTACAACAACAAAAATACCAGTACCATATGCTGTTTGCTTTGGGAAATGTCACAAGAAATTACCATAAGAAGCACTGTGGGGAGCTGATATTTAGTCTCAATTTTAGGTTGGTACATAGAAAAATTATCAAGCTTTATCATCTGCCTTATCAAAATTCCGTCCATTTTCACTTACCTGATGGCAGTTGAGCCAAAATGAACAATGCAAAGGCAAAATACATCTTCCTGCTTGGGGCCATCTTTTAGGGAAAACTCTTCAAAACAGAGGTTTGGGATTTCTTTCTCAGGACAAGAGGCTCACTTATATTTGAATTAATGGGACATGCTATTGGTCAGTGAAGTGAATCAATGAAGAAAACACAACTTTATGCTTCATTTCCCAGGATCAAGGGCTGATATCATGGATAATAACCTTTAGTGCCAATGAAGACTTAAATATATTTTTTGGGGTGGGGGTGTCTGACTGATGTTGTTTAAAGAACACCTCGCCAGGAGTTGGAAGACCAGGAGCCATGTACAGCTTGGCTATTAATCTAGGGAAGAGAAATAATCATTCCCTTAATCCTTTCAGCTTTGGTTTTCTGGGAGAAAATAAGAACTAACTTGCATATTCTGTCTGCTTCTCATGGTTTTTGTAAGGATCTAGTATGATTATGAATACTTATAAGAATCCTGGTATTGAGAAAGGAGGCTCAACAAATGTGGATTTTATTTACTTACACTTTTATTGTTTATGTCTCAGGGAGAAAGAAAAAGGCAGCCGTTTTTATGCTAAGCTAGCTCTGAATCTTTGTGATTATAACAATATAACTTCACAGACCAAAGCCATAGTTACCACATTACTTTAGTTCATTAAGAAATGGGCATCAGGGCTAACAGGTGGCATAATGGTCAAGGTGCTGGACTCCCACTTGGCCAACCGTGGTTCAAACCCCATACCTGGTGGCTTGGAAATCACAATGAGTGCTTGTGCATGTATGCCCAAAACCCCAGGAGGAGAATGGAGAAGGGATTGTAGCATGGCCATTCCCACTGAGGGGTGATTTCTCATTCCCTTTCACTGTCTCTGTCTGGCGAGCACATGTATCCTATAGCAAAGACCTTAGAAAAAAAAGAAAAGTGAAATGAGCAACAAAGTAATATTTGTATTACTGCCTCCCCCTTCAATTAAGTCCTACTGTTATACCTCCCCATCTGTACCTGTTCCCAGAAACCACCCGCCTTGGAGAAGAACCTGGGTATGGATGCGCAGAATAACCAAAGGGTTGAGCCTGAGCTCTGTGTCTCAGAGAAGACATGGTCAACATTCCTCCCTAAGTCAAAGGTGCTATGATACATTTAGTACCTAGTACATACCAGCACAGAGGTGGCCATATTCTTGGGAGTAATCTAGTTACTATGGATTGAGGTGTCAGTCCCATGAGAAGGAAAGATGCTCAGAAAGACAAACACCACTTGAGCAAGGCCTATGGACCCAGTGGCAGTAGGCAAATAACTCAGCAGATCGGGCCACTCATTATGCAGAAAGTAGCAAAGACCCCCCCCCCAAACACCAATGAAAGTCTAGAATTGCCTGCCTGCCTGCCTGCCTGCCTGCCTTCCTGCCTTCCCTCCTTCCTTCCTTCTTCTGTTTCTCTCTCTCTATTTTTAATTGTCAGAGGGTGTATATACTAACTAGAAAGAGACAGAGAGAGAGAGGGAGAAAGAGAAAACATCTTCCAAAGGGATGTTCTCCCAAAGGGATTGTGGTGTTACACAATCCTTTCTCCTTTATTCTCCATTCTGTCAGGATTTTGGACATTCATACACATGCATGATGTGTTTTTCAAGCATGCTCAGCCATGTGGAATCTAGGCTACAGGGCTGGACCTCCAAGCCTTTCAAAGTATACTTGTGTCCAAGGGAATCTGATAGTAAATAGCAAATCAAAAATACTATGACAGTGTTAAAAGAAAGACTTTAGACAAATCCAATTTAGCAGAGTTTAATTGTGTAGCTCTGAATCTTTGTGATTATAACAATATAACTTCACAGACCAAAGCCATAGTTACCACATTACTTTAGTTCATTAAGAAATGGGCATCAGGGCTAACAGGTGGCATAATGGTCAAGGTGCTGGACTCCCACTTGGCCAACCGTGGTTCAAACCCCATACCTGGTGGCTTGGAAATCACAATGAGTGCTTGTGCATGTATGCCCAAAACCCCAGGAGGAGAATGGAGAAGGGATTGTAGCATGGCCATTCCCACTGAGGGGTGATTTCTCATTCCCTTTCACTGTCTCTGTCTGGCGAGCACATGTATCCTATAGCAAAGACCTTAGAAAAAAAAGAAAAGTGAAATGAGCAACAAAGTAATATTTGTATTACTGCCTCCCCCTTCAATTAAGTCCTACTGTTATACCTCTCCATCTGTACCTGTTCCCAGAAACCACCCGCCTTGGAGAAGAACCTGGGTATGGATGCGCAGAATAACCAAAGGGTTGAGCCTGAGCTCTGTGTCTCAGAGAAGACATGGTCAACATTCCTCCCTAAGTCAAAGGTGCTATGATACATTTAGTACCTAGTACATACCAGCACAGAGGTGGCCATATTCTTGGGAGTAATCTAGTTACTATGGATTGAGGTGTCAGTCCCATGAGAAGGAAAGATGCTCAGAAAGACAAACACCACTTGAGCAAGGCCTATGGACCCAGTGGCAGTAGGCAAATAACTCAGCAGATCGGGCCACTCATTATGCAGAAAGTAGCAAAGACCCCCCCCCCAAACACCAATGAAAGTCTAGAATTGCCTGGGCCACTCATTATGCAGAAAGTAGCAAAAGACCCCCCCACCCCCAAACACCAATGAAAGTCTAGAATTGCCTGCCTGCCTGCCTGCCTGCCTGCCTTCCTGCGAAAACTCCTTCCTTCCTTCTTCTGTTTCTCTCTCTCTATTTTTAATTGTCAGAGGGTGTATATACTAACTAGAAAGAGACAGAGAGAGAGAGGGAGAAAGAGAAAACATCTTCCAAAGGGATGTTCTCCCAAAGGGATTGTGGTGTTACACAATCCTTTCTCCTTTATTCTCCATTCTGTCAGGATTTTGGACATTCATACACATGCATGATGTGTTTTTCAAGCATGCTCAGCCATGTGGAATCTAGGCTACAGGGCTGGACCTCCAAGCCTTTCAAAGTATACTTGTGTCCAAGGGAATCTGATAGTAAATAGCAAATCAAAAATACTATGACAGTGTTAAAAGAAAGACTTTAGACAAATCCAATTTAGCAGAGTTTAATTGTGGGGGGAAAAAGATTTGTGTATTGGGTAGCCCCCCTCCCCCCCAATAGCTTCTGAGGAGTTCTGAAGTGCTATATGATCCGTTCTCTTTTATGGGCAAGAAAAGGAAACTGACAAAATGAAAGCAAGGACAATGAGGTAGAGAAGTAACTAGATTTGCTACAGCTTGATGTTCCCCTGAGTGAACATGGTTTAAAGGGTGGGCTGTCTGTGATGACTGAAGCACAGCTGCTGTGATTGGCTATGACTCAGCAATCTGTTAAGGAAACAGACTCTTGAGTGAGATTATGGTGTTTGCAGGAACACTCAAGTAGAGTATGGATGCCTCATGTCAGTATAGCTTGGTTTAACAAATTT